AGTTGTCCTATCGAGTCTCCACGCTTCTGTGACTTCTGAGGGAAAATACAGAGAAACACAAAGTGGCCTGAACACTCCACTGCCTGAGGGAGTGCCTCTGTTTCTCAGGAACTGGAAGGTACTCGGTGCCCGAGGAGTCACAGACTCTAACCTGATGCTGCCTCTCAAGGCACCTAGGCCAAGCCAACCCCATGGTTCCCAGCAGGACATAACATGATATCTCATTTCATGTGTTAGCTTTTTGTCACTGTGAAACATATATAGGGGAAATAGTTTAAAAGGAGAAAGCATTTACATCGGCTCACAGTTTCAGAGTTTCACTCCACAAATGGCTGGCTCCACATTTTTTTTTTTTTTTTTTTTTTTTTTGAGTTTGAAGTCAGTCTGGGCTACATGGTACCATGTCTTAAAAAAAAAAAAAAAAGAAAGAAAGAAAGTAAAAGAAAAGGAAAGGAAAGTATGGTGATATTTTATTTGTATTAAAATGTTATTTGTATGTTAATAAATAAAGTTGCCTGGGGTCAGAGCTATTAGCAAGCCATAGGAAAGCAGGGCAGTGGTGGTGTACGCTTGTAATCCCAGCATTTGGTAGGCAGAGCTAGGTAAGTCTCTGTGTGTTCAGGGATACAGCCATTATTGGATACACACGCCCTTAATCTCAATACCAATCATGGAAAACCTGGAGGTCTATACAGACAGGCTGTGACGAGGCGGTCATGTGGTTGGGTTTACAACCAATGAGAAGGCAGAACAGAAATTCTATATAAGGACTTTGACACAGAAAGTAGCTCTGGTTCGGAGAGGTAGGACCACCGCAGGAGGAAGGGTAAGGTTTTAGCTCTTAGCTCTGACCTCTTGGCTTTCTTCTTTGCATTGGTTCTGTGTTTCTTATTTAATAAGAAGGTTGGATACATCTACAGGAAAGAACCACCAGAGCCAGGGCAATCGATAAAGTGGCAGTAGATTTAAAACAATAAACAGCGAATGTCTTATCTTCCTGCCTCCAGCATGAGGCCAAGTCTGGAAGTCTAGAGTCCAGGGCCTTTTCCTCCACATCCCCACAGCCTACAATTCCCACACCAGGGAAGGAAGTTCAGAGCTTCTCTGTGTCTTGAAAGTTACCAGTCCTTGTTTTAGAGGTTAGCCCCTGAAGGAGCCAAGCTGAAGCTGCTTCTCAACAGCTGTTGTGAGTTCAAGAAGGTGGTGGGGCCACCCAGAGTGGAGCCTGTGCATGCTGTCAACAACGGACATCTCACCTGTGTTCTTTGATTGATACACTCAGTATCAGGCCTGTGCAACATTGAGCTAGTGTTAAACACAGTTTTGTTTAAACTATCATCCATTTAACAAAAATAACTCATGGCAAGGAAGTAAGAGGGAGAGAGGGACTACTGTTGCGTTAAAAGGAACAGGAAACTGGAACTACCACCTGTTCCGATGAGTCTTAAGAGGGGGTTTTTGTTGATGCTGTTCTGTTGTGTGTGTGTGTGTTTGAGATGGTTTCCTGTAGCCAAGGCTGCCCTTGGACCCCTGAGACCCTCCTGCCTTTGTTTGCCAAGTGCCGGCACTATAGGTGCGTACCCAGCTAGAGGGCTTTTGAAAATCCTGAAATGACTGTTAGAGGCTGGTCAGCGGATTTCTTCTGATTTTTCTTTACACTGCCTCTGCCCAATGGCAAGCCCCCCTTGTGACACTCACCACTCTGCCCTAGTCAGAGTTCCTTTAGTGGTAGAAACACAAGCCCGTTCCTTCCGTGGGACTTGAAGAGAGTTTGGTCTGAGAGAATGCAGTGGCAGTGTTTGCTTAGCGTGTACCTGGGTTGGATCCCAGTACTCCAACTGAGGGAAGGGACAAGAAAATGTTCCTGCAGTTCAGTCTCGGAGGCTGACCGTATAAACCGCGTACTGCGGGTGCTCTCACCAGGGGCATCTGGCTAGGTTTCATCATTGTGGGCAGATCCGTGAGCAAGAGGGAGAGATGGCATGGTACAGTGAGGCAGGGCAGGGACTACATCTGCTCTGTGTACCAGTCACTTTTCTGTTGCTGTGATAGAACACCGTGACCAAGGCAGCTTACGGAAGAGCTTCCATGGGCTTACAGTTCCAGAGGGTGAGAGTCCACGATGGCAGAGCAGAGGCAGCAGGCCTGGTGCCTGGAGCAGGAGCTGAGGGCTCAAAGCAGAACACTGAGAATGGCATGTGGCTTTTAAACCTCAAAATGTGCCCCATGTGACACACTTCCTCAGCAAGGCCACACCTCCTAAGTCTACCCAAACAGTGCTGCCAACAAGGGACCAAGTATTCAAACATTTGAGCCTATGAAGGACAGTCTCAATCAAAGCACCATACTCTGTAACCACAACTTCGTTGTGATAGCTAACCAGGGTCTCATGAAAACTACAGCAATTTTTGTACATGAGCAGCACCCTCTGTGACTTAACTGCCCCCTGGAGGCCCAGTCTCTTGGGTTCTACACCTCCCAAGACTCACCTAAACCATGTACACGACAGTACCCACCTTACAAAAGCTAAAAGAGCCAGGCAGGGGGGTACACCCCTGTAGTCCTAACACTTTGGAATAGAGGAAGAAGGATCAGGAGTTCAAGGCCAGCCTTAGCTACGCTACATACATAAGCAAATTCAAGGCCAGTGGGCTACAGGAGATCCTGCCTCAAAGCAAGCAAAACATTAAGAAAAAAATGCTTTTCTCATGAGGCCAGTGACTGTTATGAAGCATGGTTTGAATTTGCTTCAGCAAAAGTTGAATATGCTGGTTCAGTAGAAGTGCAGGGGTGTAGGAAATGAAGCCCATCCAGGGTCTGGGGCAGACAAGGAACCTTGGCTTCAACTCCTCCTCAGCACGTCTGAATGGTTTTCCCCCATAGACTGGCTTTCTCTGCATCTCTCAGAAGAACCAGACTTCCAGCAGGTCTGAATTTCATCTTTCCAGTTTCTACTTCAGATCAGGAATCAGGGCATTTTCTGAAAAGGGCCAGAGAGTGTAGGTAGAGTTTTCCTGCCTGGCCCACAGTCAGGGCAAATCTCTCTCACCTGCCAGTCCCACAGCCGTCAGACCCGACGAAGTAAACACAGAGACTTGTATTGGTTTCAAACTGTATGGCCATGGCAGGCTTCTTGCTAACTGTTCTTTCAGCTTAAATTAATCCATTTTTATAAATCTATACCTTGCCACATGGCTCGTGGCTTACCGGCATCTTCACATGCTGTTTCTCATCGTGGCGGCTGGCAGTGTCTCTCTGACTCAGCCTTCCACTTCCCAGCTTTATTCTCCTCCTTGTCCCGCCTACACTTCCTGCCTAGCCAATGGCCAATCAGTGTTTTAATTATTGACTAATCAGCAACACATTTGACATACAGAACATCCCACAGCAAGAGAGTAAATACCATGGGCTTCAGGGGCCTTATGGTCTCTGCTTCAGCTGTGGGATTGCAGTGTGAAAACCGTGACATGTGATAAATACATACATGGATATGACCGTGTTCCAACAAAACTTTGATTACACACATATGCACAGACTGAACGTAATTGTATATCTAGAATATACAAGAAACTCTCAGCTCATCAGGAAGGTAACAAGCAACCCACACAGAGAGTGAGCACATGAGTGTGATGGCCTGTAGTCCCAGCCTGGTTACAGAATGAGACTCTACCTTAACAAACAACCTCTTTAAAAAAAAAAAGCCAGGTGTGGTGGTGCACAACTGTAGTCCTGACACTTGAAAGGCTAGCCTCAGCTACACAGAAATTTTGAGACTAGCCTGAGCTACATGAGACTCATTTACAAACAAACAAACAAACAAACAAACAAACAAACAAAAAGCAAGCCAAGGGGGCTTGGTGGTTCAGAGCACTGGCTGCTCTTCCAGAGGACCCCAGTTTGGGGTCCAGCACTCCTACAGAGTGACTCACAACTGCCTGTCATTTTGGCTCAAGGCACCTCCAAAGGCACTCAAGGACCGAACCTCCCACCCAAATACACATAATAAATCCGATAAAACCTTTCAAAAAACCAAACGAAACAAGAAAATGGGCAAACGACTTGAACGGACACTTTAGGTCAACACTTATTTAGATATTTAACCAAGCACATGGAATGATATTCAAAGTTGCTAATTGTTAGGGAAATACAAACTAATAAGACACTAGAACACACTTAGGATGACCAAAATAAAAATAGCTGTGATACAAAAATTCCAGAAGGATGAAGAAAAGCTGGATCTCTCATACATTGGCAGTGGGGATGTAAAATGGTACAGACACTGTGGAGTTCAATCTAGTAATGTCTTATTGTGACTTATGTCCTTTTCTCAGATAATTCAATAGTGACTTTCCTGAGAATTTACTTCATAGAAATGAAAACTGTTTACACAAGAACTATTTGTAAAAAAAAAAAAATATTTATTTGGAAATAACCGAAATCTCCTCTAACAGGAGTGACTGGAAACTGTGGTCCATCCATACAGGGGAATACTGCCCAGTAGCAAAAAGAAATAAATCGTTGCCACATGCAGCAGCTTAAGGGGGGCCATAAAGATGAGTGGGAAAGCCAAGCGAAGACGTCAAGGGTTTTATGATCGATTTGTATAACATTCTTACAGAGATATAAACTATGACCAAGAGCAGTCAGAGTCGGCAAGCGTCTGCAGGAAGATGGCAGCATGTGGCCCTGAAGAAAGACAGGGTGCTCCGTTGTGACGGACACTTCTCCATCTCGACTGTGATTGGGTTGTCTGGTTCTCTCTATCTGAAGAAATGTGGTAGACTGCACATACACAGAAAAGACTGGGAAACTGGTGAGACCTGGGTCAGGTCTGTGGGCTTGGCAGTTGTACGGTGTCCGTGTTTTCCAAACTGTTCAGAATAGTAGATATCAGGGGAGCTGTGTGAGAGGCATTTGCTCTCCCTACGTTTTGCAATTCAGTGAGTGCACAATCATGTCAAAAGACACTATGCCTACACACACACACAAACACACACACAAATGTGAACACAGCAGCTTTATTCATAACAGTAAGGAAACAATACTGGAAACAGCTCAGTTGCCCATCAACAGAGAAACAGAAGAACAGACTGATGTATTCATATAAAATATTCAGGAACTAAAAGGAATAAAGAGAAGTGATGCTCCAACATTAATGAATCTCACAGTCATTGTGCCGAGTAGTTCGCCCTGGGATGTGACGGAGTCAGAGTCAGGTGATGTGAGGGTGGCCCGGGAAGGGAGGACTTCAACGCTTTAAACTTTGAAAAGGATTTGGATTACACGAACACAAAATCTCAGCAAATTAATACAATGTCTGTGCATTTCATTACATGTAAATATGAAATAAAAAGGTAAAATCTAAATGAATAATAAATTTATTATATGCGTACTAATGTACTGGGGGAATAATCTGACATTTGTGATTTCTTTTGAAATGCATTGAAAAGCTAGGTAATAAAAGAGAATGGAACCTATGTGGTTGGTGTTTGGTAACACACAATAAAGTTATATAAACTTCACTGTATGGTTTAAAATCTTCCCAACACATTGAGGAAAGTTCTGACTCTCATCTAATACAAACCCTGCTTGAAATACACTGTTCTCCGTGCGAGCCAGAGATCGTACAGCAACAGAGGGCACAGAAATTAGCTCCTGAGTTTTGTTTAGGTTCTAAATGTTTAATGTACACAAACATGGTAAGAAAGAGAAGAAACTGTAAAAATCATCATCTTTTTCTGATAGGATCTTGTTTTATATTCTTTACTAGCTTGGTGCTAAGTAGCCCAGGCAGGCCTGGAGCTTAGTCACTAAGCAGCCCAGGCTGGCTTGGAACTTGTGGCAATACTCCTGCTTCTCAAGTGTATAGCCAACACTAAAAAATTATTGAATTGAAGCTGAATTATGGTACGAGTAGTCAGTAATACTGGTGTTTACTGTCGTTACAAACTATCATTTCTGAAGTACTTCCAATTGTTGAACAAAGAGCCATTTTATGTCAATTTGTGCATAAACTCTGTCTTATCCAAATTTAGTCCCCAAATGGAAATTCAGTTGTCTCACTCTCACACACTTACCAGGAGCTGGGCTATAGTAGAGCATTGCTTAGCGTGCACAGAGGACTGGGTTCTTCCATCTTCAGCACTGGGGTGGGAGCGCAGGCCACACAAAACAAACAAAACCCACCTCACACTCAGTAAACACCTCCCAGGCCCTTACTAACTGTCATTCTGCACAAGCCTCACTTCCCTCCTTGTACAAAGGGGGAAACAATGGCTTCTACCTGAAGAGGGTTACTTCAACAGGACACTTTACATACATCAACATCAGTGGCAGACAGAAACTGTCCAGTATACATAGCTGGGCATGGAGGCGCATCACAGGGTTAAGGACAGCCTTGACTACACAGTAAATTCTGGGGAGTGGAGGTGGAGGCAAGGGAGAGAGAGAAAACATGTTTTTCCCACCCTTGGTTTAAAAAAAAAAGTATATGTAAGGTTTAATAAAATGCTCAACTGTTGGGAAACTATGGACTATCTTAATTTAAACAGAACAAAATCATCTCCTCACTTGTTAGTTCAATAGCAACAGTGACAGGATTTGTTTTGTTTCTCCCAGAGTTGTGATAAATCCTGGGATAGTCCAAAAACAGTAAGCGTGCTGTGTCACTTGGGAACACAGTAACGTCTGCACTTGCCGAGAAGCGGCCCTGCTTCAGTGAGCAGCGCAGACACTGCAGGCCCATACGTGGGGCCGCACGCACTGCTCTGGTTGTTACTGCTGTTTCAGCACTGCGAACTGATCCCAGGGCCTCATGCACAACAGCCAAGTGCTCCACCACTGAGCTCGATCCCCAGCGCAACTTCTTGGTATGAGTGGTATTTAAATTTCCTCCATTCTTTTCTATCTCCAGTATCTTTTGGCATCTTTTTATCAACCATCCCATTACCAGTCATGCAGCCTACATTCCCATAAACTGTGTCAACTGGCCAAAACTAAACAGCTGTAGCTAATCCCGTTAGCTGGACACAGCTTTCTGGTGTGTGAGTGTGCACACGAGCGTGCACGCACGTGCACACACACATCACACACTCTCATTTTTTATTTATGTTAGATCCCCTGGAGCTGGAGTTACCCGAGGCTGTATAGCCCAGGATGGCCTGTAACCGTGGATCCCAGGCTAGCCTCCAGCTTGTGGCAACCCTCCTGTTTCACAGGTATGAACCACCAGGCTCGGCTCACACTAGGAGTCTCTTAGTGGTCATGCCACGCTGAGACTAGAAGTAATCCATCCCTTCTCACCACGAATCTCAGACATGTCTCAACTGCCTTTCTAAATACATGGGTTTCTTTCTACCATCACACACCCACACACACAGCAATGATTTAAAGAAGAAACTCAATGACCACCAAAGACTCCGACAAGACTGAAGTCTAAAGGCACGGTTCCAAACGCCCTCAAAACGCAAAGCAAATGCACTGTCCCGTGGAGCCTCGACAGCACGTTCCTTTCTTCCCTCGGCTGTGCTCTCCTCATTAGATTTCTTTTTCAATGTGTAAACTTGGGGGTCAGGTGTGGGGTACATTCCAGCACTTGAAAGGTGGAGGCAGGCAGATTGCTGCGAGTTTGAGGCTAGCCTGGTCTACATAGTGTAGCAAGGCAGTCAGAGCTACATAGTGAGACCTTGTCTAAAAAATACCCGCCCCTGGCCCCACGAGCATGCATGCACAAAAAAAATAAATAAAAAAAAAATAAAACAAAAAACCCCCAAAAAACAAGCCCAAACAAACAAACAACCTCCCCCACTCAAACAACAAAGCAAAAACAAAACAGCAAGGTGTGACTACGCTAGGCAGGGCTGGGCATGCACCTGTTAACTGCTCTGTAATTACAATGCTGTCTCTAAAATGCTCTCGGCGCTTCTGAGACACTAAATAGAGCTAGCTGTTAAGTATAAATGAGACTGAATTTTTTCAAACAGTAGATTCAAGTATTAGACTTTAACATGTTACTACCTTGCTCATGAAGTAATTATTTCTACATTCTCAGATGGCAATTCTACATAGGATCACCTCCAGAAAGATTTCTTTTTACCTTACATACATTCTGCCTTATTCTATGATGTCAATGCATACTAATATCCATAATCTGGGAATCCAAAATGCTCTAAAAACTGAAACGTTTTTAGTGCTGACATGATGTCATGAGTACAAAATTCAACACCTGATCTTATGTGTTGGGTCACAGTTAAAACACAGATGGGCACACTTAAAATAGTGCATAAAAGTGCCTTTAGGTTATGTACACAAGATACATAGCTTTTGTGTTTGTTTTTTGGTTTTGTTTTTGTTTTTCAAGACAGGATTTCACTGTGTAGGCCTGGCTGTCCTGAAACTCACTCTGTAGACCAGGCTGGCCTCCAACTCAGAGATTCTCCTGCCTCTGCCTTTGAGTGCTGAGATTAAAGGTGTGAGCCACCACCGTCTGGCCACAAGATATGTATTAAACACACAAAAAGATTTCATGCTTCAACCTTGAACCCACCACCAAGATCTTATAACATACCTGCAAATATTCTAAAATCAAGGGAAAAATTGAATTACAAAACAATTTTGGTCCTAAGCATCTTGGATAAGGAATATTCAACCTGTAACTGTCTATGCACAAAAAGATGATTTTAGATTTGTTTCCTTTATTTCTTGATTGTATAGACCCTGCTACTAACTCTTTGATTTTTAAATAGCCAACACCTCTTTCCTTAGCGCTGCTGATCATAATCAACTAGAAACATCTTTGCAGACTTTCAATGGCCAACTGGACAGAACCCACACTGTCCTTAATATGTGGTCAGGACAAAGTGGAAAGATTTTTATACAAATTTTCCAAGCTAAAATTCCATATTTTAATGTTAAACTTGAATTAAAAAAATGGTTTATTGCTGTTCTTTTATGCTTTATTGAGACAGGGTCTCATGTAGCCCAGACTGGCTCTGAACTCACTACTGGCCAAGCTGACACTGAACTCTTGATTGTCCTGCTTCTGCCTTTGGGACGATGATGATGATGATGATGATGATAATGATAATGATTTGGGTTGGCTTTAAACTTGTAGCAATCCTGTTGCAGTTCCCTGAGTGCTTGGATTCCAGGTGTGAGCTACCTGCCCTGACTGATCTTTTCTTGTCTTACAGTTATTCTTCTGAAGCTGAATTGGGAAAATGAGATGAACGTGTACATTCTGAGCAACTGGATTTCTCAAACAGGGAATGTAAGTACCAGTTTCTCCCTATACGCAGGTTATCTTTGTCTAACATTCTGGAAAGTGATTACTGGAATTCAAGTGTCATGCTTAAATCTGTTCTAAGAAGAAAAAACACTCCTTCCATGAACAATCAAAATCTTCCTCTGGCTAACCAGGTGATTCTCAGACAGGAAAGAACTCCTGGGGTTTCAACTGCCCTCTGAAGAAGAGGCCACCAGGGGCCAGCAGTGCACGGAAGTGGCCTAACAGAGGCCCCTTTATGTTCTCACCTAGATATGAAAATCACTAGATGAAACAGACTCACTCAGTCAACAGAATGGAAAATAGACCAACATCTTCAGATGTATTAGGAGCGAAACAGGCTACAAATCAGGAAAAGGTTTCACTTCAGTGTTGCTTGGAGTCTTTTATAACACAAATACCCAGTGCGGGGAGACAGCTCAGTCTGGACAGTGCCTGCCCCCATGGAAATGTCTGGGCTTGACGGTATGCCTTTAATCCCAGTGCTGGGGAAGCAGACAGGAGAACCCCGGACTAGCCAACCAGATTAGAATAATCAGTGAGCCCCAGATCCTAGTGAGACCCCATCTCAAAACACGACGTAGACGGCTCTTGAGAACACCCCCATTGGCCGACTTCAGGCCTCCAAATGCACATGCACACATGCAGGCACTCCTGCACACACATGAACATGCATATATAGCCTCATAAACACACCCAAGTGCACTGCTATTAAGATACACACACACCGAACACAGCCAATGAGAACATCAGGCCATGGGAATTAGACCACATAAGAAATGGTCATTTGAAAACTAGAATCAATTTTTGATATTATATAGAAACACACAAAAAAACTACATATATATTATTTTTTACAAAGAAGCTGTGGTGATTTTTGGCTCTAAAGTATGATTTTACATTACAACTCCTATTTCTAATCCTTAATCAAAGCTTGTCTAGAGCATATAGGATTTATCTTTTGGTTGTCATATTGAGACCAGGTCTCAAGTAAAGCTGGTCCTGAATTTGTTATACAGCCAACACTGGCTGTGAACTGATCTTTTTGCTTGATGATGTTCCGTGTACTGGGGATTACAGGTTTCCTCCACCACTTCTGGCTTCTATGTTTCATATTTTTATATCTGTTTCTCTCTCCTAGCCTTACCAATTAAAACATTATAGTAGTCTTTAAGAATCATGCTAATTATCCCTGCATCGATGATGTCTCCTGGACACCTAAGTTTAACTGTCCTCCATTCCCTAGCATTTTATATTCACATTAGCACCTCATCTAAAAGTTTCAAAATGCTGGGCGTCTGGGGACAGCATCTTAGAGAGCATTTACATAAAATGGAGTCCTTACTACCTCACGTGGCAAGAGTCTGACCTAGTCCTTTGAAGCTAGCACAAGACCTGTTCTGGAAAATACTGCAGAATGTTCCATGCAGACAATAAGGAGGACTGGACACAGCTGATAGGTGCTTCACCAATGTCTCAAGTTACAATGATTTCACTGTCTTAATCACTTCTGTTGACAATTTCTTCTTCTTCGTCGTCTTCTTCTTCTTCTTCCCCAGGGTCACAGACCATCTGGTAAACATAGCAGCTGAAGACTCGATTGGGTTTCTGTTCGATGTGTAGCACCAAATCTCTGTCAAAGTAGACTTCATGGCTATATGTCTGCAACAAAAACACAGTCATGTGGGATCTGCTTTTCACAGAGTCATAGTCACTGCTATGTCACCAAAATATCATAGCACCTACCCTAGGAACCTTCGTATCTACACAGACGTGGAAGAGCTGCCAGAAATGGATTTTTTATTATTGATAATAGAAACTTTAGAGAATGGGAAAAGCTGGGTGAGGAGGCAGAGAACCAGATCACTGTCAGCACTGCACACTGACTGACTGCATGAGCACGCACACGCATTTCATATGCTCCAGTTCCTCACTGACAGAAAAAGGCCTAGGCAGAGGGAAGCTGTCCTTGTAACTTTTATTTTTGTATGTGCTGTGGAATGTGTGCATGCTCACATGTGTGTGGACACCTGTGTGTGTGTATGTGTGTGGAGGCCAGAGGGAGATGTCAGTGCATGCTCACATGTGTATGTAGGCCCTTTGTATGTGTGTATGTATGTGTGTGTGTGTGTATGTGTGTGTGTGTATATGTGTGTGTGTGTGTAGGCCTGTGTGTGTGTGTGTGTGTGTGTATGTGTGTGTAGGCCTGTGTGTGTGTGTGTGTGTGTCTGTGTGTGTGTGTGTGTGTGTGTAGGCCGTGTATGTGTATGTGTGGAGGCCTGTGTGTGTGTGTTTGTGTGTGGAGGCCTGTGTGTGGAGGTCTGTGTGTGTGTGTGTGTGTAGGCCGTGTATGTGTATGTGTGGAGGCCTGTGTGTGTGTTTGTGTGTGGAGGCCTGTGTGTGTGTTTGTGTGTGGAGGCCTGTGTGTGGAGGTCTGTGTGTGTGTGTGTGTGTGTGTGTAGGCCGTGTATGTGTATGTGTGGAGGCCTGTGTGTGTTTGTGTGTGGAGGCCTGTGTGTGTGTTTGTGTGTGGAGGTCTGTGTGTGTGTGTGTGTGTAGACCAGAGGAAGATGCCAGATGTCTTCCTCAATCACTCTCCACCTTCGTCATCGGGTCCAGAGCTCAGTGATTTGGCTGATCTAGCCATCTTGCCTCAGAGATTTTGTCTTCACCTGCATGTCAGGGGCTGTCGCACCTGGCAGCATTTATGTGGGTGCTGGGGATCCCAACTTGAAGTTCTCACATCTGCACAGCCACTGAACCATCTCCCCAGCCTCCTTGAAACCAACTCATTTTAGGTGGTGCTGTGACTGAACCCAGGGTCTCTGTACGCTAGGCTGATACTCTACTCAATGAGCCATATTCCCAGTACATGTCCAGTTTATGAATATTTGGAAACAATTATTTCCAAGTGCTGGAAACCTGACTTGCTCTGATTGCCTCTGATTAACTAGCTGTGGGAGATAATTATAATTTCATTTAAAAAAAATGTTACCAAACTTAAAATTTGGAGGAAAACAAGACTATGGTAAGGAAATAACATGTCTCAAGTAACACAAAGTTTTATCTTCAGGGGTACTGGTAAGAAGGTAATCCTAATGCTAAGAGAAAGAAGGCTTAGGAAGTACTCATTTTGTCTTCCTGTTGGCCAATAACTTCTTTCATGTGGTCATGGCACAGGTGAGTCTGGACTGATATGAATATTCTAATAAATGGCACCTATAAAGAAAACTCTTCCAACTAAGTATTCAATGGTTATACATACCACATCCCATGACTCCACCAGTGGGATGCTCTTGAGTAAGGTTCCGTACTCATTACAGTGGAAATCCAGGTGAGCTTTGCCTTCGGCATCTATTTGAGTGACAGCTACTACAGATAGCAAGTCCAACTCATCTTCATAGTCCACAATTTTGAAAGTCTTGGAGACAGATAAAAGTAAGGTCAATTCCAGTTAATGAGCTAGGAATAGTCCTACATTTTTTTTTTTTGGTTTTTCGAGACAGGGTTTCTCTGTGTAGCTTTGCGCCTTTCCTGGGACTCACGTGGTAGCCCAGGCTGGCCTCGAACTCACAGAGATCCGCCTGGCTCTGCCTCCCGAGTGCTGGGATTAAAGGCGTGCGCCACCACCGCCCAGCTAGTCCTACATTTTAAATTTAATTATTCTATCCCTTATGATACAGCAGCAGGAAGAACGAATGGGTGAGAGACTCAGTAGAAATGTATCTCTATGTATATACCTGTAAAACATGGGTCATTCCCCAGATTTTCAGGTATCAAGCAGTATCCTGTAGACTTTGGCAAACAGAACCAGAAAGAACACTGGATCCCTTGGAGTTGGAGTTACAGGCCTTTGCAGGATGCCCATTTGTTTCCCAGGTGCTGCGACCGGAACTCGTCCTTATGACTGAGCAGCAAGTGCTCTTGGCTGCTGAGCCCCCGAGAGTACTGCCAGGACAACCTCAACTTCATGGCTGCTGAGTGGTGTTTTCCGTTCCACAGGGACGGAACCTGGGGGCTCACGCATGCTACGCAGGCAATCCACTGTTGAACTATATTCATCACTCACCCTGAAGAATTTGCTTTTTAAAAACTCTTTATCTAAGTGTGTGTGTGTGTGTGTGTGTGTGTGTGTGTGTGTGCGTGTGTGTGTGTGCGCGTGTGGAGGTCAGAGGACAACTCTTGGAAGAGAGTTCTCTCCTGCTACCTTGAAGGATCTAAGGGTTGAGCTCAGGTCATCCAGCCTGCACCAGCCTGGACACAGTGCTCCTACCTGCAGAACCATCTCGAGGGCTAGCCATGAATGCATACCTCACAAAAACAGTAAGCTAATCATGTTTTCAAATGACTTTAGCCCTAGACACTTTCCTACAGATTGCGCAGCAGATTCCAATAAGAAGGAGAAGGGGGGGGGGGTAACACCGACTGAAACCACACATACCACCCCACCTGCAGGGACCCTTCCTCCAGTATCCGCCCCAGGCCCGGGAAGCATTCAATTGCATGGGAATGGCTACAGGCTTGGATGGTGCTTTTGACTAAAGAATACCTCTTGTTCGGGGTCATCATCCAGAAGGTTGAAATTTCTTTTCACCACACGTCCAGAAGCTGTAACAGTGATTAAGTTTTCATTCTATCAGGGGGAAAGGAAAATCAAGACATGCTCCATTACATGCAATCGAAGAAACAGTCCTCAGAAATGTGGTCAAACCAGCTGGTCCTTTCCAACACCCACAATCCTTCAATTCCAAAGTTAATTTCAATATAATTTTCAATCCTTCACTCAGTGGAAAATATTTTAATAAAGGTTTTAAATGGATAAAATGTTAGAATAGGCAAAAGCTAATTAATTAAAGGTTATAGACTTGCTCTTCATTTTTCCTTCTGACTTTTGCCTTTAACACAACACAGACAACTAAAAGTAGCCCTGCTTTCAGAAGCTCCCCTCTTCAAGGGTCTCAGTTTACATACTACAAGAAAGTAACAGCTACAGTCCATGTATCTGGTTTAAAAGATCTATAGATACATACCACACCCAGCCCTAAGTTTGTACAACTATTTAGAACCAAAGATTGACAATTCATTGTTAAAAAAATTTGAAGACAAAAAAAAAAAAAAAGAAAAGAAAAGAAAAAAGAAACAGGCAAGATAAACTCAGTATAATCAACTGTCTTCAAATCTCCGTGAGTGAGGCTTAGACCAGCTACTCACGCAGACAAGATGAGCAGATTCTGCACAGTGGTCCTGTCTGCAGCCTAGCAGGAAAACATGCAGATTACAAGTTACCTAGATGGTTCTAGAGAAAGAATATAAAATATTTCTGACTTACCCTGTTTTCTCTATTGGCCCAGATGACAAAATCCTCAGAGATCTGATGCTGAGAACTATTATTTTCTACCTCACTTAGCTTCAAGACTCTGAAAAGGAAAAAGAATTCTAAGAACTCAAGATTGCAAAACACCATCAAACCGCCCAAGCTGACCTCAACTGAAACTCAACAAATGAAAACTGTAGCAACTCACTTCTCCTCCACTGACCAGTCTGTAATACTAATCTCATACCAAATCCGTAACCTTCTTCACACTATTTGTGAAACAGAAAAGCACAGCTGTGTGTGACGAGTGCCACTGAATAGGTAATGCAGTGGCTTGCTCAGACCTAAACCATTTTCCAACAAGTTTAATGACACCACCATGCAGACCTCACTCTTCCTGCAGCAGGTCCGTGTGTCTCACCCCTAACGTTAGAGTAGATAGTGGCACTGTTGTTTCTGTAGAGCTAAGAATTCACCTAGAGCTAACAGTGATTGAGACAGGACCAGCAATTAACAGAACCTTTCAAAGAGAGTAAAATGCACACTCAACAATACCATTTTTTTAGGATTCTACTTAAAGATTTGGATTTGCAGACTATAAATGATCTTATGGGTCAAGCTGATTAATCAAGAGAAAATAACCACCCACAGAAATCTGTTCACATCATTAAAAAGCTTCAAAATCACCATGTTCTCAAAGCCCTGCAGTCCCACATGCAAAGAGAACAGCAAAGAGGAACCACTGTGGCGGGGATAACTGGACACGTCACATTGACAACGACAAAGAAATCAGATAACGTTTTTCAACCGATAGCTGAGTCAATTAGTGATAATATTCAAAGGGGCTTATCTTTTAAGAGCTGGGGAGAAGCCAGGCTTGGTGGTTGCACGTCTTTTATCCCAGTATTAGGGAGGCAGAGGCAGGTGAATCTCTAAGTTCAAGGCCAGCCTGGTCTACATTGCAAGTTCCACTACAACATAGATAGACCTTGTCAAAAAAAAAAAGTTTTTGGCATGAGACAGATGAGAAGTCTGGGTTAGTATATAACCAGGGTGGGGGTTGGAGAAGGAGAGTAGACTTCCAGTTTTTAGTATATAACTGGCGTGGGGGTTGGGGAAGGAGAGTATACTTCCAGTTTTTAGTATACAACTGGGGTGGGGGTTGGGAAGGAGAGTATACTTCCAGTTTTTAGTATATAACTGGGGTGGGGGTTGCGGAAGGAGAGTAGACTTCCACTTTTTAGTATATAACTGGGATGGGGGTTGGGAAGGAGAGTAGGCTTCCACTTTTTAGTATATAACTGGGATGGGGGTTGGGGAAGGAGAGTAGACTTCCACTTTTTAGTATATAACTGGGGTGGGGGTTGGAGAAGGACAGTATACTTCCACTTTTTAGTATATAACTGGGCTGGGGGTTGGGAAGGAGAGTAGACTTCCAGTTTTTAGTATATAACTGGGGTGGGGGTTGGAGAAGGACAGTATACTTCCAGTTTTTAGTATATAACTGGGGTGGGGGTTGGGAAGGAGAGTAGACTTCCAGTTTTTAGTATATAACTGGGCTGGGGGTTGGGAAGGAGAGTAGACTTCCAGTTTTTAGTATATAACTGGGCTGGGGGTTGGGAAGGAGAGTAGACTTCCAGTTTTTAGTATATAACTGGGATGGGGGTTGGGAAGGAGAATACACTTCCAGTTTTTTAAATCAAGGGAATAACTAGAATCAAATAGGTAGAAAATCCTGAGTGGGAAGAGAAGACCCAAACACTGAGGCTAAGCAACAGTTAGCAGAAGTCTGGGTAGAAGATCAAAACCATGAAAGATATAATAAAGAAGGCCGAGAAGGAGGAGAAAACAGTTTACTGTCAAGGAAGCCAAACGAAGACCATCTGAAGGAAGAAGGTCGACTTGAAAGAGAACAGTAAACAAACACCAGTCCACAAGCTCAGAACAAAGGCCAATCACCACCTTTCTCTGAGGGCACCTGGACCAGGACTTCACTCACAACAGGCAAGTGCTCTCCTGATGAACTACATCTTTCTCTGAGGGCACCTGGACCAGGACTTCACTCACAACAGGCAAGTGCTCTCCTGATGAACTACATCTTTCTCTGAGGGCACCTAGACCAGGACCTCACTCACAACAGGCAACTGCTCTCCTGATGAACTACATCTCCAGCACCCCCTCTCCACTCCCCCTTTTTTTTAGAGATAGAGTTTCACAAAGTTGCTCAGGCTGGCCTTGAACTTGTGATCTTCCTGCCTTGGCCTTTTGGGCAGCTGGGATTTCAGGCCTGCACCACCTGGCTCAGCTATCCTCTTCCCTTCTCATCAGTCCTAGAACACGAAGACCCATTTAGGTGTGTGGCACACTCCTATAATCCCACGAGTTGGGGCACAGAGGCAGAAAGACTATGAGTTCAAGGCCAGGCTGGGCTAGACACTTGTAGCAAGTATGAGCTACACAGCAAACCCCTAAGAGCCTGTCTTAAAACAAAGCAAACAAAACTGAATGATGGCAGGATAATCCCTAATTCTCTTCATTCACTCACATATCATCCATCAAGGAACTTGTATGTAATACTTACAGACAGTAATGGGAAAGCTGAAGAATAAAACCAGATTGTACAGACAACAGTCTCTCAGAAAATACTCCACACAAGCAAAATTTTCATAATATTACAATGGTTACAAGCAAAATAAAAAAATGCCAATAAATGCTACAAAAATTGCTTTTAATTTTAAAGTACTAACAAAATTACTCACTTGACTTGATTGGGGCCAACATGTATAATTCTTCCAGAAGCATCAGGGTGGAAATAGATCCAGTCAGATTCTAGTGAACAACACTCCATTTCTTGGATTCCATTTCTTGCCTGAAGTTGGAAAAAAAAATAAGACAGGGATTAGAAGGGTAAACAAATTTTCAAATCAAACCCTTTCGGTAACTCACAGGTACAGGAAGGACAATATAAAGCAGCTGAAGGGGGACATGTGTGAGGGCCAAATGAGAGCATACAAAGTTGAGAAATTCAGAACAGTGAAAGTCAGAAACTCAGGCTGGAGAGATGGCTCAGAGGTTAAGAGCACTGACTGCTCTTCCAGAGGTCCCGAGTTCAATTCCTAGCAACCACATGGTGGCTCACAACCATCTGTAATGAGATCTGGTGCCCTCTTCTGGCCTGCATAATAAATAAATAAATCTTTAAAAAAATAAAGTCAGAAACTCCATAGATTTACCCTGTGCCATGCAATATACCTCAGGTAACAGTAACCCAAGCTACCTTCACTCAAGCATGTGCTATTGGGGGCTGTGGGGATGCTTCATCACTGCTGCGCTGAATTTTAATAACCCTCAAAGCAAATATCAGCCGCATTTTATGGCTAAGAGACTGACACACAGAGAGAACAGATATTTGCCCATTGTTTTGAACCCATTAAACACTAGATCTGACTCCAAAGTCCACGAACTTTCCATGACTATATACATGCAGATTCCTACAACTTCCTCCTCCCACCCCTATCCACAGCTACCTGTCAATCAGAAGAGTAGGTACACTCACATAAACACGTAACCAAAGCAAGAGTCTCTGACTCAGGTCACATAGTCTCCTTGATTAAGTCAAATATTAAACTCTCATATCTGAGAAAAGAGTCTAACACTGATGAGCATTTACGACAAGATTAGTCTTATTCTAAACTATGTAGGCATTCTTAGACATTAAAATAAAGAAAAAAGCCAAGTGTGGTACTGCACACCTTTAATCCTACTTGGGAGGCAAAAGCAGGTGGAGCTCTGAGTTCAAGCCTGGTCTACATAGTGAATCCCAGGACAGCCAGAAGTACATAGTAAGATCCTGTCTCAGGAAAAGGGGTAGGGGGTATGCACTGTATGACAAATGATCCACGTGGACTCATGTTTTACCTTCTACCATACCCAGCAGCACCAGGAACTAAGAGCAGTGTACATCCATTAACTTCTGTTTTTGGCAATTATTTATAAATGTGCTGAAATACAGGCCTGACCAAATGCTGTTGCTATTAGACAGTATGAGATAGGTATGCTTAAAGATCACTTGTTTCTTTATGAAAGAACACACTGAATCAGTTCTTATATAAAAACATACAGTAAATGTATAGGACATACACTGTGTAAGGTTTGATGCAAAGGAACAGAGAATACCAGGTACTGGTGGCTGAAGAGTCCTGGTTGAGAGGTGAACAGTCACATCAGGGCTTGCAACGGCAGGAAAATCCTCTATAAAAACGTGACAGAAGGGAGAGGGGGCTACAGGGGTTGTTACCTGTGACCAAGAAGTGAGAAAATGGAGGGAAAAGGGTTCTCACAAAATTAACTAGAAGACACTAGACACAGCAACCCTGTGACATCAGAAGGAGATACCAGGACCCAAGGCTATGCTGACTTTCAACATGGCGGAAGGTGGGGACCTGTGACTCTAAAAGCTACCGGAGCCAAAAGTGACTGGCTGTGCAAGGGTCCTGGAAGATCTGGGTATGGAATAAACTCAATCCACCTCATAAAAAGCAAACTTATCTGATAGAAACCACATTGAGTCAGCGATACAGGAAAGAAGCGAGCCACAGCATGGGTCAGGGGGTAAAGGGGCTCTCTGGGCAGGCCCAGTGACACATCAACAGGGAAAGAATCCTGGGAGAATTTAAGCAAGGAGGAAAATGTATCCCTAGCCATGTCAGACCATGCTAGACCTCAAATGATTAAATGGAAACTCAAGAAAAAAAAGTCATATTTTGAAAGAAAATTAAGATGGACTTAATGGGTTAAACTTTTACTGTTTGCCATGAGCCATTTCTTCCTGTGGTGCCAGAGGCAACTTGAGGAAACCCTTGAAAATACTCCATTTCAGCGCCAACACTGTGAGCTCCAAAACTCCATCTGGTTCTGCTCGCTTCAAAAATCAACAACACATTCCACAGCAATTTCAGAGGCGGCCTGAATATATTCTAGCAACAGTTCCCACGGAAGCATCTGAGAGATGTTTTCCATGAGAAGCCTGCAGCAAAACCGTTAGAACAAACCCCTTCGCTGCGTATGGGGACACGTAACCACACTCACAGCACTTGGGAGTATCAGACGTTCAAGGCCAGTCTTGCCTGTGGAGTGAGTTGGAGGTCAGCCTGGGTTACATGAGTGTCTGGGAGAGGGGTGGAGGGACGGAGGGAGGGAGGGAGGGAGGGAGGGAGGGAGAGGAAGGGAGAGGGAAAGGGAGGGAGGGAGAGGTTGAGAGGGAGAAGGGGAGAGAGGGAGGAGGAGGGAGAGAGAGGGAGGAGGAGGGAGAGGGAGAGAGAGGGAGGGAGAGAGGAGAGAGAAAGAGAGAAAACGAGAATCCTTGGTGCTTTAAGACCGTTCAAAAATTCGTGTTTTAAAAAATCTAGGTGACAAAACACTATTTCCTATGTTCTCTGCATTTTAAAATGTCCCCAAATGCCAGGTGTGATGACACTCATCTTTAATCCCAACACTGGAGTAACAGAGGCAGGAAGATCTCTGAGTTCCAGGCCAGCCACTGCTACATAGAGACACGGTCTAAATGAGAAGGTAATTCCTGGGCATATAGCGCTATTAGAGGAGTAGAGAATCAAAATTTCTAATATAAATTTACTATTAAAAAGTTGAGTACTCATGAATTACCAAGGAATTATCTTTTAGGGCACAAATATGGAAAACTCCTTTCTGTTTCTTCTTATTAGGTGTGATGATGTAGTGCCAAGGATGGCCTCCTATCTGAAATGCATTCTCCAGGGATGAAACTTCAAAGAGTGGAGATGGTGAGTCTGTAAAGATGAGCAAGAGAAATTTATTGGCTTCTCATTTTGGGTGGACTTGTACCACTCATTAAGTTCAACATTTCTTGGTGCATATACATACTTTATGAAGTCTCATTAATGAAAAATTACTATGTTCAAGGGAATAAAATGCAGTCAGAAGAGAAGTTTGTTGCTAAGAGAACAGAAAGCTGGTAGAAAACAAAGTGAAGCTATTAGTTAACTTTCTAGCATGTATTTTGGTGGGAATACATGGCCTACATGTGGGGAAAAAAAGGGCTGAAGGTGCTTATCATGGGGCTGAGGGAGGTAAATATATCACAAAAACTGCAGCCACCCTGAGGGTCTATGTGTAAGACTCTGGGTTAGCCACAATGTCAACTCCCTGAACAATTGAGGAACATAATCAGGTCTACTAAACCTTCCAAAGGCAAGGAGACCTTCCATATTATAGTCTAACAAATACATACCAGCAAATTTTACAAAAGCTGACCTGTGTTAGTTTCGTGTATAGAAGCAACGTCAGTCTGAATGAATGCAACCAATTTAGGCCACAATGAGACTTTATTAAAGAGCAGACATCACTACCAGTATTATCATCAAACAAGTTCATTTTTACAGACATATCAAATCAGTCTCTTGGGGATGGACATCAAAGACAATTTTGTTGGCCTTTTTTTCTCTTCCTCTTTGATCACGGTTTTAATTATAACATAATAGGTCCACTCTAAACACTGTAAGGAGAAGGTATTGCAGGGAGGTCACAGTCTCTTTTGGTGGCTATAGGTCAGACTGCCCATCCACAGCCTCCTGATTTGTGCTTCTACCTGGAGAATATCTGGTTTATAAAGCCACTTGTCTTCAAGGGGTTATTCTCAGATCATTCATGTAAGAGTTACATGTTACAATGGAAATGTGTGCTTTGCTAGGGTTCTTCTTACTTCTGAGAGCTGTGCACAGGAGAAAAACAAGTAAGGAAAAGCAGCTTGCAAGCAATTTTGAGGAGAAAGAAAGAACAGGTATAGATATATCAAAGATATTTAAAGTACTTAAAAGCTTTTAAAAGGAAATGTCTTAAATAAACAAGGTCTTTTCAGGTAATAAGAAAAAATATTAATATCCAAATATAATAACAGCCAAAGGGCATGTGTCAGTAAATCATGAAAAAGATTCAAATGCCATGTGAGAATAAACTCAGGTTCGGTCCCCAGCACTCTCATCATAATTATCTACAACTCAAGTTCCAGGGGATCCAGCACCCTCCTCTGGCCTCTGCTGGCTCCAAACAGTGACTTACATACAGCAGACATACAAAATTCTTAAAAGAGCTTTATGAGCATGTTTGTATTAAATGCAGGAGGCATTTCTGAGGTTAGGAGGTATTGCTAACTTTTTTTTATAAAACTGCCTAATTCACTTAAAAATGAATCATTTTTAAAACACTTATTTTGGACTTCATGGATAGCTTAATTGGTTATACTGGGCACTTTTCATAGTTTATATAATTGCCATTTGCCACTAAACAGAACATTCTTTTCCTTTCTTGCATCTTTCATTTCTGTGTCTTGACTATTTGTTGATGATACAATGGTAAATGACGATTTTTTAAAAATTCCTGTTTTATCCTGGCTCTATTAGAGAAACTTTTGAAATTTCACCTAAAAAAAACCCATAGTGTTTATTGGTTAGAAATAGATGCAAATGTTCTCTGCATCATAGTGAGTGACTCTTAATGAATTCAGAATAGAAACAAAATACTAGGATAATGCCATCTATCTAACTGCCTCTTTTTTTTTTTTTTTTTTTTTTTTGGTTTTTCGAGACAGGGTTTCTCTGTGTAGCTTTGCGCCTTTCCTGGAACTCGCTTTGGAGACCAGGCTGGCCTCGAACTCACAGAGATCCGCCTGGCTCTGCCTCCCGAGTGTTGGGATTAAAGGCGTGCGCCACCACCGCCCGGCTCTAACTGCCTCTTTTAACTGGACTATAATCATCAGGCTGTCCTTGGATGCCTGAGAAGAGATCTGGACAGAGGCTGCCATCTCCACAGTGTGCAACGGACACTCAAACACCCTATATAATTTGCTAATTCCCTCAGGCAGATGACCCCCCACAAATCATTCAATTATATTGTTCTATAATAGAAAATAATTTCAAAGACTATGTTTTTGAACATTATTATTTTACCTTTTTTCTTTTTTTGAGACAGGATCTCATATAGCTCAGGCTGGCCTTCAATTGATGGCTTTTTACTAAGTTGCTGAATTTAATAAGTTGGGGTGGTTTTTGTTTGCTTGTTTGTTTTTGAGAAAGTTTGATGTAGCTCAGGCTGGCCTCAAACTCACTATATAGCCAAGGATGACCTTGAACTTCTGACCCTCCTGCCTCTGCCTCCCAGGTGCTGGGATTCTAGGGATATACCATACTTGGCTCAGTGAGTGAGTTAAATACAGAATTTTTTTTAAAACTGTCTTCATAGAGTCATGTAAAACTTTCTCTTTTATTCTCCCTAGGTCTAGGATCTGTCTATCTTTAGTGGGCATAGCATTAATATTTCCTTGGAAAACACTATCTTTAGAAATGGGTAGACTTAACAAAATTAAAAAACCTTAAGTTATAAGGAAGCTAGGATAGTATGAATCGCCACAACTATCATTTTCCAGACAAGGAAATCAAGGATCAGAAAGGAAAAAGAACTTGACCAAAGGCTCAGTATCCTCAGGCCTTCATTCCAGGGAACAGTGGACAGAATCGTGCTGACATTTACTCAACAGTAAAGGATGCACCGCTGTATGGACGTCAAAGGAGTCAGGATACAGTCAGAGAGAAAAGTGTGCTTTCAGAGCAGGATGGGTCACATGAGCACTTACTTTCTTGAGTTGGAAAGATTCCGTACGCAGCCATACCTGTGATCTTAACATTACAGGGGATGCCAAGAGGAGCCTCTCCCACCGTCCCCGGAGTCCCGCCCTGACTGCATGCACACCCCAAGTCAAGTTTCTGTTGCATGAACTAAAAACAAAGCAAAGCAAAAATGGTGCTTTAGAGCCTGTTTAAGGAAAAACAAAATTTACATGCACAAGACAGAGAAATGTCTTCATTCAAGGGCCTTTCTGTTTATTCTCCCCATCGCTCTTGCAAAGATTATGTATCTTTTCACATTTTTATAGTAACTGTCATAATTTAAAACTGTATGAGTGTCTGACTTGTCAAAAACGATAATAATAACCACAAAACAAACAACGACAAAAACTTCAGTCCACACCTCATACTGAGTGTGAAATGTCCAACTGTAGTTTTCTCTACCTGTTCCATGATGGCTTGGAAGCTATACAGTCTGATCAGTCCCGAGCCGTACATCACAATCAGTATCCCATGTGACAACGTAGCATCTGTGACATTCGCGAAAACCTAAGGGGAAAGGCAGATGTCACCTAAGGAAAGACCAAAAGCCCAATCCTTTGAGTCTTCAAAATGTTTGCATTTCCTGCTTTATATTCAGGTCATCGTGGCTGCCTCACATTAAAACTCAATTAAAATTTAGCAGCTTGAAGCTAGAGTCTTATTAGAGGCAAGCAGCAGCCACTCGATCCTCAAGCCGGAGCAGCAAAAGGGATGCTGCACGCAGGGCCCAGAATGATGTGTCAGCATCCATCTGCTGTACAGCTTTGTCAATACCAAGTAATTAAAAATTGGACTTTCCGTGGAACAGTGATAAACTGTAAGGCCATGTAATTCTAAAGTAGTATTTATCAGGTATATCCAATAGAGACTCAGTATTTACACTAAGATGTTCTTCATAAAGATAAATATTTATAGCTGCTTAAAGGCAAAATGATTGGACCTTGGAAAGTAATTACAAGAGAAATGGCCAGCTGTGGATCCATGTGTGTTTGTGTGCTGCGGGTACAGTGCGTGCATGTGAATTCATGTGCGTTTGTGTGCTGCGGGTACAGTGCATGTGTGTGGATCCATGTGCGTTTGTGTGCTGTGGGTACAGTGCGTGCATGTGAATTCATGTGCGTTTGTGTGCTGCGGGTACAGTGTGTGCATGTGAATTCATGTGCGTTTGTGTGCTGCGGGTACAGTGCATGTGTGTGGATCCATGTGCGTTTGTGTGCTGTGGGTACAGTGCTTGTGTGTGGATTCATGTGCGTTTGTGTGCTGTGGGTACAGTGCATGTGTGTGTGCAGGGACATAAGCCCATGCTCCTGTGTGCAGTACAAGAGCATGACACTGGGTGTCCTGTTCTACAACTCCCCACTTTATCCCCTTCAGACAGGCTCTCTCTCACTGAATCCAGAGCTTTCCACTGTGACAGTTAGGCTAGCTGCCCAGCAAGCCCTGGGAAACCTCTCCTGTGCAGTGTTAGGGTTGCAGCTACACATGGCCATGCCCGGACTTTATGTGGGTGCTGGGCATCTAAACTCACGACTCATGACTACATAGTAAGTACTCTTACCTACCAAGTCATCTCCCTAGTTCCCACCTCCAGATGTTTGTCATCATTATGTTGTTTAATTTCTATCAAGGGTTGATTTCTCAACTGCTTAAAAAGCAAAACCATAAAGATCAAACCCCTACAGACATTTATCGATAGTAAGTTTTGGCTTATTGTTCCCTAAAAATTCTATTCCTGAATCTTAGGATGACTTTCTCTACAGCTCTGAGGAAGGACACAATTCTGTGCCTTGTTTATATTCAACAAAAAGCAAGTAGGCAAATATTTACAGTACTAAAAGCAGTATAGAGGAACTAAAAATCCGTTTTGACTTTTACTCAAGGAAGACTATTCAGTGCAGATGTACCATGGTAATAAGCAGCTTAAGTATGACTGCTCAAGAGCCTCACCCCTGTATAATTTTAATACCTATAATAAGAGAAAGATGTGCAGTTACAATAGTCAAGACCAAATCCCTCAAGTGATTACACTGGATACATTAAAAATAAGCAGGAACAACTTTGACTTTGCTAGTCTTTTTGTGTGTTCCTGCCACAGAATGGAATACACATACAATTACTTAATCCACAAGCATAGGGAAAACAATGAAGTGACAAGCTGGGCTTTTGTCATTTTCTTAGAAAGATAATTATAGTTTGCTTTGAGTTGGATAGCTCTTAGCTTTTCAGTTCCCTCCTCCTGGTTCCACACTTTGAAAAGAAGTACTTGGGTAATTCAAACACTTTTAAATTAGTAAATAACTGCTCAACTTCTAATAGAATACACTGTCACAAAGTCTTAAAATACTTAAAAGTGACTAGCGCAAAATAAACTATACGTGATAACTAATATTATTCTTTAGCTTATGCAATTTAGTATAAGCTTACATAATAGGAAATGTTTAAATAGATTTATATTGATTGCTAGTGAATACTAATAGATTCTCAAGATCTTGACTCCTACAATATTTTCAGTGTTTAAACACTAGTAGAATTCCCAAGATAACTTTCCACCACGTGAAAACTTTTAAAAAGAAAGTAGACTCTTACTCAGTTGAAGTTTGGCTCTTCTTTCTTCCCATGTATTCCACAAATCATGACAAATGGGAACACAATAAAAACCCAAACTGCATGAGTTAGAAGATTCATGTATTCCATTATAAGTCTTGTTTATATACTATAAAGCAAGTTTTAGACTTTTACCTTGTAATTAAAATGAGACATTTTGTTGAAGCTTCATGATCATTTTAATAAGCTTTGACATATTATTCCCTTTGAAAAAAATTCTTTAGGCATTTCATAATTTTATAAAATAGCAGTTTGTAAATGACCACAGGTTTCCAGCACTAATAACACTAACCATCTGAGAGGCATAAAAACACTCAGGAAGTTTAGGCTTCTTCCCAAGTCAAATGTTTACATTTTGATATGCAAAAAGACAGATCAGTAAACATTTTATAGATAGAACATTCCCATTCAAAACATCTAATAAATAAATGAAGATATTACACTTAATTGTCAATAAAATATTGCACTTAAGCAATTGCAGTGTGGTGTTGCATACCTTTAATTCCAGCACTTGGGAGGCAAAAGCTGGTGGATCTCTGAGCTCAAAGCTAGCCTGGTCTACATAGTGAGTTCCAGGTTATCTAGGGCTACATAGTGAGATCCTGCATTAAAAAAAAAAAAAAAAAAAAAAAAAAAGAGAAGGAAGACGTTAGTTTTCTTACCTTTTTGTTGATCTCCAGAATCCCCACAAGGGAAAAGGGCAGAACCCGGAATACTGCAAGGTACAACAAAACAGGTTGCTGAGTGCCTGCCTAGAAGAAAAGAATAAAATTATAGGGAGCTCTCCAAAGTACTTCGGAAGACAATTATCTTCACAAGTTCAAAATATCCCTCTGTCCTTGTATAATTTTAAGTATACTAAAGTTTTCATGAGTTGAGACTATCCATCTATTTAGAATGAAAAGTTATTTCACCAATAAAGCAAACACTTAAAATGTTCACTAATCCTCCAGCTCCTCACACACGCAAGTACATAAACATAAAACTACAAAAGGAAACATAACATAAGCATTTCTTACCATTACGATCTTGTGGATGTATATTGTAAACTGGGGTTCTAACAATGAGCCTAACCAAGAGCATGGTGTTACCATGGTTGTATCACTGAAAGTACTTGTATTGGTATGACTGTACTGAAGACAAACAATACATCAATAAAGACTTGAATGATCTATCAACTTGGAGAAGAGAGCTCCTTTATCTTGGAAAACAAGTTCCCAACAATTATTTCCATTACGATATGCAAAATAATCTATTTACTTCTCTAGTACAGAATTCAAGGGAGTATCTTCAATTTAGGGACAGCACAGCTGTCGGCCCGTTACAGCGACTTCTGCTTGAGCAGAAATAGGGTTTGAGCACCAAGACTATCAATCAAAGCCACGGGAAATAAAAGTTAAAGCACAAACAAACACAGAAACGGAGTGTGATGTTTAAAGCCCAGAGACCTTCCCTTTCAAAGAAACATACTTTTACTAAGATCTTTGTTCCTAAAACCTAAAGGCAGGTGTATTTATATATTGTGGGAACATGGTCTCAAATGCAGAAATGCTTACGAGACTTTTAATAATATTATCAGGTGATAAATAAAAACCTCAATCCACAATACTGTGCAGAGTTAGACTGAAGTCCTGGTTCTTCTGGTGTTTAAATTCTCAGAGGCATATTAGACCAGGTGCTTCTAGAATTCTCATGAAATGCTGTGTTACTTTGTTACAGTATTTAACTTTTATGAACTTTCCTTTACCAGAGCAGAAAGCTACACAATGAGTATGAAAAGCAGCAATGATAGACAGTAACCCTCTCTCAGGCCAGCCACCTCAAAGGCCAAGGAGACCCCAATGAAAGGTAGGTAGTTATGCTATTAATATGACTGGGCAAGATATAGGAAATATTTATAAATAACCATCATTAAAAGTAAGTTTAGAGCCGGGCGGTGGTGGCGTACGCCTTTAAACCCAGCACTGGGAGGCGGAGCCAGGTGTATCTCTGAGAGTTCAAGGCCAGCCTGGTCTAAGAGTAAGATCCAGGACAGGCACCAAAACTACACAGAGAAACCAAAAAAAAAAAGTGAGTTTAGATCTGGTTAAATGCTCAGTGGTGAGGTGTTTGATCCCTGGAACTCAAAGGGTAGACGAGAACTGACCCCTGCAGGCTGTCCTCTGTCCTCCTCTACCTGTATGCTGTGACATGGAAATATATATAAATATTACATTACACACAGAAATAAATTAGTGTAATAAAAAAAAATTTTTTTGATTTTTTTTTTTTTTTCCGAGACAGGGTTTCTCTGTGTAGCTTTGCACCTTTCCTGGATCTCACTCTGTAGTCCAGGCTGGCCTCGAACTCACAGAGATCTACCTGCCTCTGCCTCCCAAGTGCTGGGATTAAAGGCGTGCGCCACCACTGCCCATGAAAATTTTTTAGATGAATTTAAAAAGTTAATCAATAGCTTATTTGGTTCAGTGCGGTACACAAAGCCAGAGAAGGCAGGAAAGAGAGGAATGAAAAACAGAGTGTGAAGGAATGCGCTGGAGTTGATAAGGGAACACCTGATGTGGTTATTTAAATAAGGTGAAAGCAGAGGAACTATTGAATTTGTTAAAAGGTTCTAAATCAGGTAAGGTAGCACACACTGGCAATCCCAGCACTTGGCAGGCTGAGGCAGGAGGATCTGTTTGAAGACAGACTAAGCTGCACAGTCAGACTCTCTCAAAAACAACAACAACAAAACAAAACACCCCACACAAAAAGGCACCCTAGAATTCTAAGTAAATTACCTGACAGTTAAGGTTACAGGAATTTTTTTTAGAAGGTTATGTTTTTACATTAAATACAAGGAGGAATTCAAATACAGATCTTGCCAAAAGCAAACAGAAAATAATTCTTATTGGAGTTGTTTTTTTATATATCCTGTCCTGAGATAAGAACAGAAAACCTCTATGAGAAAAAACAAAACAAAACTGTATTTCATAAAAATTCTCAATAAATATTTTCTAAGTATTTCCTTATCAGTTACCAACAGAAATAAGTTTCCTGATAGATCTGGGCTTTATAAAGGCCTAGTAAATTCTGGGTGATGCTTTTTGGGGGGTGGGAGGGAAGAACAGGGTCTCACCCTGTAGCCCTGGCTGGCCTGGAACTCAAGAGATCCTCATGCCTCTGCTGAGATTAAGGGCTTGCACCACCATGCCTGACCAATTCTAGGTGATTCTTTAAAGACAACAGCTGAGGGATGTAGTTCAGCACTAGAGCCCTTGACCAGCATGCATGAGGCCCTAGGTTCAATTCCCAGTGCCCTCAAAAAAAAAAACCAGAAATAAAACAGAGAGACACCCATTTGAATGGTCTGCTTTGGGAGGAAAATTATCTTCCAATGTAAACAGCACTCTTCAATCCCCGAAGGCCCTGTGGGAGCTTTAACAAGGGCTGCAGACCTGCCGGGCCACTGCTGAGCCTTTGTTCTGAGCTGACTTGACCGCAATGACCTCTTGAGGAGTGTCCCAGCTCAAGTACCTTTGGAAAGAACACAGAGGAACTTAGTGATTGAATCAGTCCCCTTATATGTAAAATCAAAACACTAGACTTTATTTACTTACCTACCTATTTTTATTTTACATTTTTTTGGGGGGCGATAAAATCTGGCCTAGGACTTTTTAGGTAGCCCAGGCTGACCTTGAACCTACTGTCCTACTTGCCTGCAGTAGCTGGGCATCTCTCCTGCTGAGATGGCAGGCATAAATTACCATGTTGGCTTGGTATTTCATGTTTTTTTTTTAAATATAACTTAAATTATAAAAGCAAGGTAATCTATTTTAAAAACAAATAGCTTTAATAATTTCCTCTAGATCCTTATATAGATACAACCTCTACTTAAAACATAAAATTTGTTTTTTTTTCAATACAGGGTTTCTCTGTATTATTTTCTTAAATAATCCTCTTCTAATTAAAAAATTTTTTTTTTTTTGAGAAAAGCCTCATGTGATCCAGGCAGTTCTTGAACTTGATATGTCACTGTGGATAACTTTGAAAGCCTGATCGTCCTGACTCAGTCTTCTAAATATTGGGAGGTTAAGAGCATCTGCTGCCATGCCAGTTAAAAACTGTTTCTTTCTTTCTTTCTTTGGGTTTTTCGAGACAGGGTTTCTCCGTGTAGTTTTGGTGCCTGTCGGAATCTCACTCTGTAGACCAGGCTGGCCTCTGAACTCACAGAGATCTGCCTGGCTCTGCCTCCCTAGTGCTGGGATTAAAGGCGTGTGCCATTTCCAATTTTAAATGGGAGGTATAAAAATATTAAAGATATTACTTTTACAAATTCCATACTCACAGTCATTCTAAAATTTACATCTAATTATAAACTAGTCGTTAAAATTGCATTTCTTGGATTATACTAGAATGGAGAACTCATCAGTCATCTACCTCTGACTACTGTGTATAGGATAATTACTTAATTAGGAACACAAAGTAAATAGTGTAGTTCACTAGCCTCAGATCTTCAAACAGAACAAAGCAAAGGAACAAAAAGAGTTAGTTCAGAGTCGGGGATTCTAAAATAAGAGTTAGTTCAGAGTCGGGGATCCCAAAGTACACGGGAAAAACTGGGACAGAGGGCAGGACTGAAGAGGGGCCTAAGATTTCCTGGGCCACAGGTTTCAAAACAACTCTAACAGTCTCACACTGGATACCTGAACTTGCAATAGGAAGCAAGGTATATTTTCTCCAGGACTTCCCCTGTAGTTGCTGATATACGAAGCAGCCAATTGTGAGCAGTCAGTGCTATGAGTGAGGACTTATAATCTGATGGGTTAGGAAGTATTTCTCCCTGGGGGGGGAAAAAAAAAAGAGGTATAAAAACAAACTGCTTGGCTATGAACAATCTGCAGTACTGTGTCCAAAGAAAATGGCTAGTTACCAGTTCAAATAAGTCAACCAGAGAGTTAGTAACTGCACACAGGAAGAAGGCAAGGGAAGACTAGACTGTGGGTTGTCACTTTAACCATTACTTATTTTTTAATGCTTTTAAAACTTATCATCATTATTGTGTACATATGGGTGCACAAGCCACAGTGTACATGTGCCCATCAGAGGACTACCAGGCGGACCGGTTTCTCCTTTCCCTTGTTTCTCTGAGACAGGGTTTCTCTGTGTCGCTCAAGCTGTCCTGGAACCCGCTCTGTAGACCACAATGGCCTCAGACTCAGGGATCCACTTGCCTCTGCCTCCTGGGTGCTGGGATTAAAGGTGTGGGCCACCATCATCAGCTGTCTGTCCTTCCGCCTTCCTGTGGGTTCTGAGTCTCAAACTGGGAAGCAAGCGCCTTCACAGCCACTGAGCCGTCTCGTTAGTCTTTGAACTTGTTAGATGAGTGGATTCATTCACATACCCAGATGAACATAAAGCACTCACACAGCGTCTGGCCGAGCTCACTCTGCATCACTTACAAGTACCCCCCAGACTTAGCCAACAGCAACAGGAGCATTAGCAACCGTGAAAGCAGTGACCACCGAGCTCTCAGGGGTCACTGTTTTGACAATGTACAGGTCTGAGGCAGAAGGGAAAGAGGGGCAAACGTGGTCATTTTCCCTCAGGAAAGGGATGAATCAAGAAGCTGAGATTAATGTGGCATTTGCTTGGGTAAAACACAAACAGAAAAGAAGAGGCCACAGCCTCTCAAATTCCAGGGAAACAGCCGTTTGCTTGGTGTGATTTATTTTTGCTGTTTCTTAGGCAGCCCGTGTGTAGCACGGACTGTGAACTGGTCTGCCTACATCCACGCTGACATTGTAATGTTGTATTCGGGCAACAACACGAATGCTTTTATACTACAATGCCTTATGTAGCATCTCATGTAGACCTTCAAGTTTTCAAATATCTACTACCCTACTTAGTCCTGTAGAGACATTTGGAACACATACATAGTATGGATTCAAACTATTTTCTTAAGCCAAAAATGGCATTTCATACATTATCTCAGAAACAAAATAAGAGAGTACTAATTTAAAAGTAGTTTTGCACCATATATTAACAATACAGTGTTCCTTTGAGTTCTTCATAGAAAATCTTATGTCACCACAAATAAAAACAAAATCACTGAAATGTTTATGGAATGAGAATAAGAATTAGGCTAACTTTATTTTTCCAGGACTGCTCTATAGTTTGGGTGTTTGAATTGGTATACTCAAACTTTCTCAATTAAGAAACCCATCATCTCTCTAATCCCCCTCAAGAAAATAGATTAAAAGGCTTTAAATTGTTTAAGGCACAATTATTCTCAGCTTTCAATTACAGAGGAAGAAAACAGGCTTCCAACTTTCTAATTTTTAAAAAGGAGACCTCTATGAAAAGCGAGTTAATTACAGGGGCAATGACAGTTTAAAAAAATTACAGCTTTATGGAAAAACAACAGCCTGGAAAAAATTGAACATTACATTCAGAATATTACTGCCCATGGCTTAGATAGTACTTTTGGTCACAGACTGGGAGTTCTCTTAAAAAGCAACCAACCAGACTCACAGACACGATTAATTTGCTGCAGTGTGTCCTAAGAGGATTTCCTAGAAATGATGCTATGGAAAACTCAAAATGGAAGAACTATCCCTCAAAAAAGGGCTGTGATTAAAGCGTTTGGCAAGATGGTCTGACATTCACTGTGCATGCGAGCATTATTAGAAACGGTAGTATTAAAGACAGAGGAGGAATTTGACACATTTCCTTGTTTAATCTTTGGAACTTTCCATGTTCCATCCCCCCCCCCCCCCCCAGACTGCTTCCTCCTAGCTTCCCTGGTAATCTGAATGCTCACATCCCATGGGAACAGTGTCCTGAAAAGTGCACACCCAGGGCAATGCTGGCCTAATGGGATAACTTGTGCTCCTGTGGCTTTCATTTTTATCCTCTTATTTCCCTAACTACATTCATAGATGGAATTTATAAGAACTTACTTTCAAAGATCTACATAACAGTTGCTCACAAGAATGACTGTAAACTACCTTACATTGTTATAAAACTTTTAATCAGTTTCTAACTTTTTAAGATTTATAAATTATCTCTAATTTAGATTTTTTTTTTCATAATGAATTGAACACAGTGGTGCATACCTATAATCCCAGCACTCAGGGGTGGGTGGAGTCCAAGGGTCAAGCTCATCCTCAGCTACATCATGTCTTAAGCTAGCCTGGGCTCATACATGAGACTGTTCAAAATAAATAAGTGAATTCCAACTACTGATTTTAAAAAAATATTACATTTGTGTGTGTGTGTGTGTGTGTGTGTGTGTGTGTGTGTGTGTGTGTGCATGTGCGTGCATGTGGAAGATCAGCAGACAAGTTTTGGAACTTGGTTCTCCCTTTCTCTGTGTGAGTCCTGGTGACTGAATTCAGTTCAGCAGACTTGGCAGGAAGCACCATTACCTGCTGGGCTATCTTTCCAGCCTGTAATAATGACTTTTTTAAGAAAACTTTGTATTGATACTGGAAAAAACACATTCTCTTCTTGGTTATTCTAAAGATTTGGGAGTCACAGGGATTTTTAAGTTTTATCTTTTAAAAAATACACTAACAATGACTAGTCCATCTAAACAAAAATGCTTTAAAGAACATCATGGACGAGGGTCAGAAACGTTGCAAAGCCAGATGACTGGCACATCTGCTACGAGGTTGTGTTTTCCATCTATGGCAGGGAGTTGCACCCATGAAATCTCAACAATACTGCTGCCTATAGAAGGCCTGCACACCACCACCACCAGCTGACATTCGAACGTGGATGGGGAAATCTCATGAGGCCCCGTCCCTAAATGAAGAGCTACAGGCAGTTAATGGCTGCCGAGAGGGAGAATCAGTCTTTGTCAGAGATTAGCCTCCTGACAGGCTATCCAGTCTGAAGGGGTCAGCCCTAAACACATACACATCTGAGCAACGGGAGATGGGCTCAGCAGGTGTGTGTGTGTGTGTGTGTGTGTGTGTGTGTGTGTGTGTGTGTGTCATGACGTTGAGAGGGAGTGTGTGTGTAATGGAAGGAACTGAAATAGAGAGAGGGTGGGGTAGAAATGATATGAACACAGTATAAGATTTTTAAAAATGAAATAAATAAATAAAACATTTAAGAGCTGGGGGAGCTTTAAAAAAACAATGCTCTAGAAAGAAATCTCACCACTGGGCATTCCCATAATAAAGCATCCTCAATTTTTTCTGCCTTGGAACATTTTGGCATTTCATAAATTTTTCTTGGCTCTGATGCAACACTAGGAAAAAAAAGAAAATAAGCATTATTAATTTTAAACTCAGGTGGTCTTTGTTCAGATTTCAGATATTTCTTTCACATGTCTATAGGCCCAAATTACAACTTGTTTTTTTTAACTGTTCTGTTTTTTTTTTTTAATCACAAATTCAAAATACACAAACACAGGAAAAAAATGTAAAAAAAAAAAAGTCAAGATTAAAATAGTTTATAATAGGGTCTGGAGAGATGGCATAGTAGTTAAGATCACTTGCTGTTCTTCCAGAGGATTCATTTGGTTCCCAGGACCCACATCAGGCAGCTCACAACTATGATTCCAGCTCCAGGGGATCCTATGCATCTGGTTTCTGCAAGTACCTTCACATACACGCATGCACATGCACATGCACATGTAAACACATAACTAAAATTAGATAGTTTGTACTACAATAAAACCACCTAAAACAAACACACATTTCGGTTCATCTTCCAGATGTTCCTTATGTAAATGGAGCTACTTAGACATTGTTTTACAACATAGCATTATACTGAATTCTTTTATCCTTAAACATTTGCTGTAAATGTCTGTTGAATCCACTGAGTTCATTCTATTGCTCTGATACTTAAAAATGATAATGTACAGATTAAAAAGTTCCCATTATGTGTTGGCTAGTTTTATGTCAACTTCACACAAGGTAGAGTCATCAGAGAGGAGGGAACCTCAAGAAAATGTCTGTGGGCTAGAGAGATGGCTTAGTGGTTAAGAACAATGGCTGCTCTTTCAGAGGTTCTGAGTTCAATTCCTAGCAACCACATGGTGGCTCACAACCATCTGTAACAGGATCTGGTGCCCTCTTCTGGCATGCAGAGCACTCATACATAAAATATAAATAATTTTAAAAAAGAAAGAAAATGTCTGTAAGATCAGATCAGGCTGTAGGTAAGCCTGTAGAGTATTTTCTTACATACTGACATTGTGAGTGGTACCCATGGTGGTCCTGGGTTCTATGAGAAAGCAGGCTGAGCAAGCCAGAGGGAGCAAGCCAGTAAGCAGCACTCCTCTGCATCAGCTCCAGCCTTCAGGTTCCTGTCCTGTTTGAGTTCCTGTCCTGACTTTCTTCAGGAATGAATAGTATTGTGGAAGCATAAGCCAAATAAACCCTTTCCTCCCCAAGTTTCTTTGATCATGCTGTTTCATCAATAGTAATTCTAAGACACACTAGTTTGAATAAGCATTTGTGGATACAAAAGGAAACACTTTCTATGTATATTTTATTTCTTTCAGAAGTATTAAATGTGTCTTACCCCATTATCACTGAATATTGTATCTTCCAGCAACTTCAAGGCTAGACTTTGGTAACATTTAAGGTGCTTGCCAGGCCCCAGACTGTCCCAGAACTACATCCACCCCCTCCCTACCAAAAAAGTGAACATTGTATCCTTGGTGCTTTCTTTTGAAACAGTCTCGCTACCATGCCTAGGCTGTTCTGAACCATCCTTCTCGCCTCAGCTTCCCCGGACTGGGGCTACAGCCCGCCACCTCCCTCGGCTAGTCTCTAGTTCTCTGAGAACTACTGAGATGTGGTCATAGATGTTTTCTTAACTGAAGAACTTTAAAGTTCAAGTACTGTGAAAAGAAACAATCTTTAGAATGACATTTTATTTGCCTCTGATATTCTCTCAGTGACTCGAAGGTTTAAATCCAACAGAATGTCACAGGAGCAAAAGCAATCTCCTGTGATTCTACCTGTGGGTGCAACACTCCTTAACAGCATGGTGAAGAACACCCGACACCAATCAAGAGCATTTACTTTGACTGAACTTTTAAAAATCAAAACAACCGTCTGACTTGGGAAACTGATGAGCTGGGTACTAAACAATACCTAAGGGTCAGTGTTAATACTACAAGGCATGGTGATGAGTATCACAAACATAGAAGAGAATGTCCGGATTTCCAACGCTAGAATCAGAGCCTTAAAACAGACACCGTTTTCAAAAAGAACCGAAGGAAATGATTAAAGGGTCAACCACTTAAGCCTCTGGTTGTTCTTATAAAAGCACACAAAGAAGCAGTTATTCAAGAGAACCTTCTGGAATTCAGTAAGGATAGTAGGAGGTCACAATGTCTGCATCAAGCACATTTCCTTCTTTCCTTCTTTCAGCTTAGGAAGATGGTATCATTCATAGCTCAAAACTTTTATGGCTGAGACTTCTAGGATCCTTCCCCCTGCTGCTTTGACTCAGAAGGCACTCTCTCAAGAACAGGCAGAGTGACACCATTTTCATCCAGCCGCAGTCATGTGTTGCTGAGGCTGAGTCCTATGTTAGTGTAGCTGAAAGTTAGGACCTCTTCTGCCCAGGCCCCAGGGAGGCTCTACTTAGGTACACTACAGTGTAGAATAACAGGACTCTGACATCACTTCTCTTTCTTTGTAAGGTCCAGACTGGCTTTACCTTGCTTCCCTAAGCTGAGTATTTCACCCACCTGACCTGCTCTGCTTCTTCCACTAAGGGAGTCACTCCATCAACTCAGGTGACCAGCCCCATAGAGTTGGCTTGAAGACTGCCTGGGCAGAGAAGCAGTTCCAAAACAGATAGCCCACAGTTCTTTCCAATAAAACTGACTTTATTTGCAACAGATGTGGAGGAGTTCAAGCATATGTGCACTCTATAAATCATTGGAAGCCAAATAGAGGGTCATGGGTAATTCACTAGCACTAAAGGCTAAATTGTAGGTTAGCTGATTTGCCAAAGAACCAAAAAGGATAACGACAAGAGTAGTGATTCTCAACAGTGGGTCACAACCCCTTCGATGTCACATATCAGATACCCTGCACATCAGATATTTACATTACGATTCATAACAGTAGCAAAATTACAGTTATAGAGAAACAACAAAACAATTTTATGGTTGAGGGTCACCACAGCATAAGGGTCTCAACATTAGGAAGGTTGAGAACCACTGGACTAGAGTCAAGGCAAACCTCCAAAATCACTAGTCTCTCTGACTTCTAGTTTCTAATCCAATAAGAAAACAACTTAGATGTTATCACCTTGGAGATAGCTCAGTTGGTAAAATGCTTGCCATGCAAGCAAGGGGACCTGTGTTTAAATCCCCACCTCTCATAGTTTCTGCCATTTGTAATCCCAGAGCTGGGGAGGTGGAGACAGGCAAATTCACAGGGCTTGCTGGCCAGACCATCTACTGGAAACCTAGTTTCCTGGTCCAGTGAAATAAGACCCTGTCTCAACAATAAGGTGGATGGCTCCCGAGGAATGGCATTGAAGACTGACCTATTGCCTCAGTAGACACAGAACGAAAATGCCCATTTTTTTTTTAGAGATGCAAAGTGAAGGATGTGTTTAGAATATGCTTTAAAAGATTTACCATCACGATAAAGGGCCAGGCAGTGGTGACACACCCCTTTAATCCCACCACTTGGGAGACAAGAGGCAGAGGGATCTCTGAACTCAAGACCAGCCTGTTCTACAGGTTGAGTTCCAGGACAGCCAGGGCTACACAGAGAAACCCTGTCTTAAAAATTAAAAAAAATAGGGGTTGGGGATTTAGCTCAGTGGTAGAGCGCTTGCCTAGCAAGCGCAAGGCCCTGGGTTCGGTCCTCAGCTCTGGAAACAAAAAAAGTTAAAAAAAATAAAAAATAAAAGAAATGGCCGGGCAGTGGTGGCGCACGCCTTTAATCCCAGCACTCGGGAGGCAGAGCCAGGCGGATCTCTGTGAGTTCGAGGCCAGCCTGGGCTACCAAGTGAGTTCCAGGAAAAGGCGCAAAGCTACACAGAGAAACCCTGTCTCAAAAAAAACCAAAAAAAACAAAAAAAAAAAAAAAAAAAAAAAGAAATGAAAGAAAAGAGAGGCAAATTGATAATTCTTAGCCTAGGTAACTGTCATGGAAGCATCAACTCACTGTGTCTTTCCCTGTAGCCTGAATGGTTGTGGATGAGGCTGTTAAATATTATGCATCTATAAATCCTATGCTTTTGTTTGAATACTTTCTCTTGGGGGAAAAAAAAGTAAGCACTTCTAAAACAAAATATGAATACCCGTCTCTCAAGCAGCATCTAATTATTTCATAACCTGTTTCTTGACTCTGATCTTTTAATGTTATAAAGCAGCAAATTGTGCTGAGCAATGTATTATTTTCCCTATGCTATAATTTTGTGTAAAATAAGTATTTATGAAGATGAAACCTGCAACTTTAGATTTAACGAGGTTTTTAAATCGCATGCATTTTCCTCCTAGTTTTATTATGGATTCATTTTTCTATCTTCCTATTTCACTAAGCACTAAAGAAGGCACGTGGTTCTATAAAAACTACAGTCAGGTGAATTACAGCCAAAAAAAAAAAAAATCATCACTAAGATTTACCTGCTGACACAGCACCGGTAATTGTCAAAATATATTCTTCCTCTCTCATAGGCTATAGGTGACTTGGAATGAGTTGTCCAAACATTCTTAAATTTAGTACTCTCCTGAAAGATACAAAGAATTTTAGTTTAGGAAAAAACTCAGCTACCTGCTATGGAACCATTTTTAAGTGGGTAGTTTACATCTACTTTCAAGTACATTGTTTTTTAATTCTTCCTCCCTCTGCCTACACGTGTTGGTTTAATTGGATGCCCAACTTTTAGATCGATCGTTTGCAGGAAGGCAAAAGCTTTTAAAAACTAAAGCCATGATGCGGACCTATATGCACCTATTTACTAACATCCTAGTTACGGGACACGGATGCCCCTCCCCACTTATAACCCTCAAAGGAAATCCGAGCGTGTAAAAAACTGCACGCCGGGAGGAGGAGGATGGACCCCAGGCACCCCGACTACAGCGGGCGTCACCTGGCACACCAGCGCCCGCAGGATGCCCAGGTTCGTCCTCTGCACCACGCCGGCGTCGCGTGCGAAGAAGCCTAGAGCCCGGCGACTCAGCCGGCGGCACACATTGGTCTTCGGGGTCCGGCCCATGGAGGCTTGGGGTCCGCAGGGCCGTGAAGGGGCGCGCCCCTCACTTCCGCGAGGGGTGGCAGCCGCCACCTGCGAGCCTCAAGGGAAAGCGGACGCCGGAGCCCCGCACTGGGCACTCGGGGACAGAGAGCAAGACTTAGCACCACTCGGGTTGGGTGCAAAGGAAGAGACCCAACGGCCCCTGCATGGCCTTTCCTTCAACTCTCGGGATTGCCGCTGCACCTCGCGGCCCGCCGTAGACACTCCCTCTCCCGGAAATGTAGTTCCCATGGCCTCCCCTCCCCCCACCCTACTGGTTTCTTTTTCGAAAACTACAATTCCCATCAGGCAGAGCGAGGGCTGGTCCGGCCCCGCCCCACCCTGCCTTCAGCCCTCCTCTCCCGGCCCTGATAGGCTGCGCCGTAGGCCTGCGCGGTGGGTCGGGTCGTCTTCCGGGCTGCACCTGGCTAGCGTGGGAGGCCTTTGGGGCCGCTGTGCGGCCGCCTCCTGGTGGCGTCTCTTCTGTGTGCCACGCACCTAGGGAGCAATCCCTTTCCGCCCTGGTGGTGGGACGCCCTACTTTGGCCCCGCGAGGCTCTGGCCACGTGTTCGGAGGGGTGTTGTGTCCAGTGGGACCCTCCAAAGGTACGCCCTGCGGCTTTGCCTCAGCCGCCCTTGGGACGTTGTGGATGAGGTTGACTTAAGCATTTGGTTGTATAAACACTTACGCTTTCGAATTGTAATTAGTGGTGAAAGATGCTGGTTTTCCCACCAAAGTTAAGATTAAATTTCTCCTTCTCAGAGGCCCTAGTGTGGCCAGCGGGGACCCTGGCTGGTTTTGTGATAGTTGCTGTTTCCCTTCTCCTTGCTTCCATTTTTTTCCCCATATAGGGAATAAAATATGAAATGCTTGCATTCCTATTGGATTGCCCAAGATAATCCAGGTTGACGTCCCTAAGTAAAAATTAACATTCTCTGTTAACTAGCTCTGCCTGCGTGTCCAAAATTCCCAGCACACTAAAATTTCCTTAACTGTATACCACACGCCACCATTCGTTCGTTGTAAACCTCTTTAGTGAGGCGTCTGCATCTCCCACATAGACTTGGTTTGTCACTCCTGATCTTAGGTGCTTAAAGAAAAACTCAGTAATCGCACCAGCTTTCTGATTGACAGCTTAGAAGTACAATACCAAATGTGTTTTGTGCTGGGTCGCAATTTAAGCGCTTAGGGTTTTTGTTTTGTTTTGTTTAGGGAAAAAAAAAAAAGGAAAGGAAAAACTGTCTTTTTACCCTTGATGCATTTTCTTTGGGGTCTGGCCTTTTCTTGCTGATATTTCATGACTTGCTGATAGCATAGTGTGGAGTGCTTCGTGTATTTTTAGAAAGCTCTACAATAGTTAATTTGGTCTTTCATGAATGCAGCTGTCACTGAGAAAACTGGAACCCAGAAAAACATATCTGGATTTTCTTTGGCTGAAGCGAAATGCAAATCATTGCTGAGTTGCACTCATCATCTCTTTCTTTCTGTAGCTCTGTCTTTCTGTGCTCTCCCACCATGGCCGAGCTTGTGTATCTGTGCTTATCGTTCACATAACCTTAAAAGCACCATTATAGTTGAATATTACAACAAAAACAGTAGCAAGTGGTGGACATGTGATTCTACCCTCCACGCATTCACTTCTGCATACAAAGTGCCAGCAGTGAGTTACTCAGTGGCTGGACACAGACCCACCCCTCAGACATGCTGGGCATCATCCTCATTTGCTGCTCCATTATAATGGTGCTGCCTTTCCTGGTTTGGATCAAAGTCCTCCGGTTCTAACAGATCCAACTGCTTGTCCTCTGGGAACTCTGTAAGCTTGAGAAGTCTGTTTACATGTTCCCCCTTCATCTTGCACTCTTACCAGGGTGGTACTTCAAGGCCAGTCGCCTCTAAGTGTTTTTGAGGTCTTCCTGAGGCATCAAGCTTGACCCCTAAATCATCATGGTAAGTGGTTCCTTTCACCATTTTCTTTTCTTTTCTTTTATTATTATTATTATTATTATTATTATTATTATTATTATTATTATTTGGTTTTTTGAGACAGGGTTTCTGTGTAGTTTTGGTGCCTGTCCTGGATCTCACGCTGTAGACCAGGCTGGCCTCGAACTCACAGAGATCCGCCTGGCTCTGCCTCCTGAATGCTGGAATTAAAGTGTGCACCACCACCGCCTGGCTTTCTTTCACCCTTTTTGACAGCCAGTGAGCAGGCTGGAGCTGTGGGGGAGCAAGATGGGGCTGCACAAGTGTCCACAGCTTGGACAGCCTATACTCTTTCTTACCTGTTCTCTTCCTGTGGTATTTATCTTACCACCAATCTCCCCAAAGAAAGTCAGTAGACTGTCTTTGCCTCTCCTACAACCAAGTCCTTTTGATTCTATTTCTGTCCGGTCTTTTCTTCTGAGTAGTTTAGTGCCTTCCCACTTTTATCATGTTATTATTAATTAGCCTTCTGATTGTTCTTTCTGCCTCTGCTTGGATATTTTCGATCCCAACCTGCCACAGTTTTTGTAGAATGCCTTTGCTAATGCACAAAGCTGTCACATCCTTCTTAGTGGCTCCTAGTCACCCACTGCAGAATGTTTCAAACCAGAATCCAACCCAGGATCTTCCATTGTTAAAGTATTTTTAGTATGTTAGATGTATGTAAATATAAAACTATATAAAGTCCTATGTATCTTTTATGCAACTCTAATAACCAGGCATTTGTTAATTAAATGAACAAATGCTTACTCATTGTGATCATTGGTACTGTTTTGCTAGACCTTAAAAATTCAGAAAGCCAATCATCAGTCTGTCCTGTCCTTCATGCATACTGTTTTTACATTGAGACCTATATGTATTTTTCTAGTGTTCTAGATTACTCAGTGTCCCAGTCTTTATTTAAACCACCCAAAACCTTCCTTGGTTAGTGTGCCTGCACTTTATTTGACCCTCACTGGATAACATCATTTCTATACATCAGTGTCTTGTTCACTTTTCTGCTGCTGTAGTGCAGCACCAAGACCAAAAGCAACTTGGGCAGGAAAGGGTTTATTTATCTTATAAATCCTGAATCACAGTTCACTGAGGGAAGCCAAGGCAGGCGCTCCAACCCTGGCAGGAGCTCCAACCCTGGCAGGGGCTCCGTAGAGGCCCTGGAGGAGTGCTGCTTACCAGCTTACTCCTCAGGGCTGTGCTTAATATGTTTTTTTTTTTTTTTTTTTTTTTTTTTGGTTTATTTGAGACAGGGTTTCTCTGTGTAGCTTTGTGCCTTTCCTGGGACTCACTTGGTAGTCCAGGCTGGCCTCGAACTCACAGAGATCCGCCTGGCTCTGCCTCCCGAGTGCTGGGATTAAAGGCGTGCGCCACCACCACCCGGCATGTTTTCTTATAGAACCCAGGACCACCTGTCCAGGTGTGACTCCACCACAATGAACCCATCAATAACTAATTAAGAAGATGCCCTACAGGCCTGCCTGCCTACGGCCTGATCTTATGGAGCAGTGGTTCTCAACCTTGCAAATGCTGCAACCCTTTAATACGGTTCTTCATGTTGTGGTGATCCCAACCATAAAATTATTTTTGTTGCTGCTTCATAACTGTCATTTTGTTGCTGTTTTGACTCGTAATGTAAAGATATATTTCTGATGGTCTTAGGGGGCCCTGTGAAAGGATCATCAACCCCCTAAGGGGTCATGACCCACAGGTTGAGAACCACCATTATGGAGCCATTTTTCTCAATTGAGGTTTACTCCTGTCAGGTGATTTTAGTTTGTGTCAAGTTGACATAAAATTAGCCAGACTCTTTCATTACTTTGTATTCATGGCAAATGCACAGCTTGTCGAGGAGTGCACCCCTAAACCCCAATGTGGGACCGGAAACTGGACAGCACTCAGGTGAACGATGCCATCTAGAGCATCTAGATAGTCATCATCCTGACTATCCTTTTGTTAAGGTTCTTTTTTCTTTTTTGAAGATTTTTTTTTTAAATCAAGTTGAAAATAAGGGTTTCTTGATCAGGCTAACAGTCTGGAGGACACATGCGTCGATCCCCAAGGGTCCATAGAGGGTCCATCAGAACCCCTGAGTGTCCCGTAAAGGATATGGCTACAGCTCAGCCTCATCCCTTGACCGTCCTTCATGTCTGTCCCTGTGCAGATGTGTGTCCACTTGCTCAAGCCTTTCTACTCGGCTTTCTTTAGTGCTCCTTTTCTTCCTTTCTCTTAGCTGTTAGGCTCAAGACTCTCCCCGGATGGCACAGCTCTGCCTGAACCCTTTCCTCTACCCCCTCCAGCTAAGCAGCCTTGAGTATGACCCCATGTTACTCTGCATATACTTGTGGCACTGTATTGAGCTAACCTGGGCAGGAAAAGGAGCTGTGGTATTGTTCTGCCTCTTTAGCACACTACTTAAAATGTGGTTAATGCATGCATATATTGAATGAATGAATGAATGAATGAATGGCCTACAAAACCAATGTGTAGAACTTATCAGCAACTAAGTGCTTTTGGCACCAATGTAGATTTTCTCTCCTCTTACTTTTTAAATCCATAGGAAACCACAACAGAAATGAGAAATACAAATCCCTGTGAAGTGTACCTTTAAAGTAGGTATTTTTCAGCCGGTCATGGTGCTGCACACTTTTAGTTCTAGCCCCTGGGAGGCAGAGGCAGATGGATCTCTTAAGAATGGAAAGCAGCCTGGTCTACATAGGAAGTTCCCAGACAGCTAAGACTACATAGTGAGAACTTGTCTTAAAAAAAAAGAAAGTGGGGCTGGGCAGTGGTGGCGCATGCCTTTAATCCCAGCACTCGGGAGGCAGAGTCAGGCGGATCTCTGTGAGTTCGAGGTCAGCCTGGTCTACAAAGCGAGTTCCAGGAAAGGCGCAAAGCTACACAGAGAAACCCTGTCTCCAAAAAACAAAAAACAAACAAACAAAAAAGTGGGTGTTTTTCATAATAGCATTAACAGATGCAGCTTATGATTACAGGTTCTCTAGTTTGGGGGGATGGTAAAATAAATACTGGTTCTTTTTTACCACTCCCCCATTCTTTGTTTTATGTTAGCAAAATATCTGCTTGTATGATTTGCTTAAAGAAAGGTGTTTTAGCTAAATATTTAAGCTCTCAGGCTTTTGAGTATTTGAAACAAAATTTGAAGCAAGGCCCTTGGAGGTCATTGTTCAGCAGCTGTTGTCCTCTGCCGGGGCTGGGACCTGTTTGGCAGGGTGTAGCAGTGACTGTGATAGAAGAACCAGCTAGATAGTACTCAGTGTTGCATCTACTCATCATGGGTTGAAAACGTAGATTTTCAGTACTGGGAATCACTGTAAGGAAAAGACTGGGAGCCCCACTTGAGCCAGAGTGGACGGAGAAGACCTCTCTAAAGGGGGGACTCTCAAGCTGAGCCTTGAATAATGAGGACTGCTCTACAGAGGTCTCAGGAAAAAGACAGCGTGGTGCCTCATATTTGTAATCCCAGAACTCAAGAGGTTGAGGCAGACCAGTCCATGTGAGTTTGAGGCTAGCCTGGGCTACAGAATTGCTGTGTGAGACCCTTTCTCAAAAAAAGGCAAGCATCCCGGCAAAGGGATGCTCAGCCACAGGGTCCTCAAGGCCTGTGACGACAAAGTTGGTTTTTTTCTACACTGTCCAGAAGTCTGGTGTGGCTCTCTTGTATCCAGGAGGGAGATAAACTCAGAGCAGTAGGCAGGGACCAAATCATGACCAGCCTTTCAGACTGAAGGAAGGAGTTTGAATTTATTCTGTCATGACAGGAAGCCACGAGAGGCTTAGAGGAGGGGAGTAGCATGATCTAGTTTGTTTTAATAACATTTGTCAGAATGTACTGGTGGGCCCAGCTTCTTAAACTGGATTCCAGCCGTTATGGGATCACATGTCTGAGTGTGGGGGCCATGAGACATTTGGCAACAGTAAAAGGTTTCTGAATGTACAACCAAGAATTAATTCAGAACTGAAGTGTGTGGTGAATCTGGTGGGCTTCTGGCAGTGTTGCCGATGTTGCAGCCTCAGTTCTGAGTATACAGTGGCCACACTTCACACAGCACACTTCCTGAAAGGCGTTAGTGCAGACTCAAGGCCATTGTAGGCTATGAATTGCAGTATTGGTGCTGTCTATACAAGCTCTTCTGTTCCTGCAGAATCATGATTTAAATATGGAAAACAAAGACTGTCCATATTTCCCTACCATCATTCCTCAGCATGTGAGGACCAAATTATTATATCATTAGACCATGCCGTGTTAGAACGTTTGATTTGAAATTTTCTGTTTGGGTTGCAGTCTTCAGTTTCATAAATAAATTGTGAAATGAATTTTGGCTTCTGATTAGGACAGAATTTCCAACAATATCTGAAAGGGTCCTAAACATGCCTCCTGCCAGTTTACCCTAGGTATTTATACAAAGTGGTATGTATTCTCAGCATTTATAATTCTAAAATCTATATCCACTCTGAAAAAACTTCGTCGATATTCTACATCTTATGATATCAAACACTCAGCCAAGATTTAATTCTTTCTTACTTATTTATATGTGTAGCTTGTGCATGGGTACATGTGTATGCTACGCTGTACATGCATGTATGTGTGTGTGTGTGCGTGCATGTGTGTGTGTGCATGTGTGTGTGTGTATATGTATACATGCACGTGGTGGCCAGAGGTTGATGCTGGTGTCTTCCTTGATTTCTCTCTGCCTTGCCTTTGAGGCAGGGCCTCTGGGTGAACCCTGTGCTTACTAATTACCTATGACAACCTGTCCATCTCTGCTTCCACTCTGCTGGAGTACAGATATACACCAACACACTTTTTTTTATGTGAGTGTTGGGATATATATATACAGAAAAGCAGCTCTCAATTTAAATCAGGTAAAAATTATTTAGAATTTCTCTGTAGGGTTAAAACTTTGTGATCCTTGTTTAAAAAGCCCTTAACTCGATGCCACAAAATG